GGGCTGGAAAGAACCTAAGAGTTAGAGGATAGGGAGATGGACAACAAAAAGATGACTTCTAGACAAGACAGCCATTTTACTCATAACCTCACAGCAACCATATGTACAAGACTTGTACAAAAGACAGGTCTTGATGTAGTTTTTTTTTTTTTTTAGTTTTTTACATATTTTAGATATTAACTCTATTGGAAAAGACTGTAGAAGATTGCACCTATCACTATTTCACCATGGTTGAGGAATGGGCCCCTGAAGCACCATCTTTGAGGGACTATTGGCAGTTAAAGGTTACTGAGAGAGAGAAGGTGTCATTTTCTTCAGTGGTGTAACCACTGCCTTTTGTTCTTGCTCCAGTAAGTATCCTCCCACCCACACTCAGGAAAATTCTAATACTCAAGAAGATCTGAAAGTTGGAGGACCTATTAGAAAGAAAGATCCTAGCAAGGGGGAGAGAGGGAAGATAAAAATATCTGTAACGTAGTGTGGTGGTTTGAATGAAAATGGCCTCTATAGACTCATAGGACGTGGCATTATTGAAGGTATGGCCTTGTTGGAGGAAGTGTGTCACTGGGCATGAGCTTTGAGGTTTCAAATGCTCAAGTCAGGCCCAGTGTCTCACTATCTTTCTCCTGCCTGAAAAATCTGGATGTAGAATTCTAAGCTACCTCTCCAGCACCATGTTTGCTTTCATGCCACAATACTTCCCAACATGCTGATAATGGACTAGACCTCTAAACTGTAAGCCAGCCCCAACTGAATGTTTTACTTTATAAAAGTGGCTGTGGTCATGGTGTCTCTGTACAATAAAAACAATAAGACTTAACATACAAATATATGAATCTGTCAAACAAAAAAAATTACATTGTCTTTCATACTGTAGCACATAGCAATCCATTCATCTCCATTGCTGCATAATATTCTGTTGTGTGACTATGTCACATCTCAATGACTGATAACATTTCAATTAGTTCCAGTTTGGAGTATTATGGATAATCTTTGTATGGGTAACATTCTTGTGCATGACTCTGAAGAGATTTCAGTTCAGTAACTAAGAAATGAAAAATATTATCAAGAAAACACACTTATCATATTCTAACTGCTGGTGCAAGGTGCTGGCAGATTACTGTCTGACTGGCTACTTATTCTTTTTCTGTGTTCTCCCATGAAAAAGGGGCAACAGAACACTTTGGGTCTCTTTTATACAGGCCCTAATTCCACTCATGAGGACTCTATACTACTTATCATATTCCACATAGGGATTAGGTTACAATCTTTGAATTTGGTGTCAGGGGTAGAGAAGGTCACACTAAATAATGGAATAAGAATCTTGGAAAAATACTGACAAATAATATAATTAAGCCATACAGAGAATGTTGTTCAGGCTTTGTTTCCTCACCCTGTTGTGATGCAACATTGGGCTCAATCTGCCCATGACGGGTGGAACCTGAGAATTTTGTTAATTTCCGTTAATGGCAAGTTACTTTTGTATTAAATATCTCTGCTCCATATTCCATTATTTCCTGCAGTCTCCATGATTTGATTGACTAGTTTTTCCTGGTTATCAGACCGATTCCTTTTATCAGCATTCTGAGAATCCTTCATTCTATATAGAAGGCCTGTATCACTCCCTAAAAGATCCAACGGACCCATGGACATCTATGGATGGCATCTTCCTGTTGTGCTTCTATGTGAAGCATTTCATTTCAGACTACTTGATCTGTGATTCAATAAGAGGACTGTTAGCATAATTCTGTACTTCTGCTTTCTATTTCCACTGGATCCATATCCAGCAGTTGCACCTTCACCATGATGGTGATTTTTAAGACTAGAGGAAAAGTCACTTCTGTGGAGCTCTCTGGAAGTGTCCATAGAGGCATGCATGTGCTGGGTGGACAAGGGGCCCCAAGAAATGAAATTGTTTTCTAGGATATTTGGCATTAATAGATGATGTCAAATGGACTTCTAAAGTGTTGAGATATATATTCCTGTCAGCAGTGTATGGAAAGATGAAAGGCTCCACATTACCACATTACCACCACTCCACAATGTGTGCCTTTATAATCTTAGCCAGCATGATAGGTAGAGTGTAGTCATAGCTCATTATGGATTCATTTGCATTTCCCTTATAACTAATGATGTTGAGAACCTCCTCTTCATGTTAGTAACTCTTCGGTGACAGGCCTATCCAAGCTCACATTTAGTATTTGTGTGTGTGTGGTACTAACTTTTAGTAACATGGGTACAATTTGAAAATCCAGCTATAAGTAAACCTTGAACTATACGCAATGAAATATGTTCTTCCTGTATTCATTTTTCATCCATTTACTATTATTTTGTGGTGCTGTGGGTCAAAATCAGGGCTTTGCACATGGCAGGCAAATACTCTATTGCTACAAAATGCCCTTAGTCTAAAGGTGCCTTTTGATGAGCAGAAATTTAAAAAGGTTTTAAAATTGTAGTGTGTACATGATATGCTTAACATCTAATATGCATGTAAATCAATATAATACATGTGTATGGGTGTACATGTGAGGCACATGTGGGGATGTCATTGTGGACTAAGTTCTTTTCTTCTATTTTTACTTAGATTATAGCAGAATGCTTTCTGAAATTATTTTCCCTTCATTAGTAATAAGTAATAATATTTAAATATTCTTGCTGGATCCAACCATGAGTTGTTTTACTATTTTTAACTTACGTGAAAATGTCTTGCTTATCTACTATTTGTCTCTTTTTGTACTAGCTTTTTGTGACTGCTATAGAAAATTACCCTAAACTTGGTAGTTGAAAATAACAAATTTGTTTGAAGTTCTGGGGACAGAGGTTCTAAATCAGTGCCACTGGACCGAGCTCAAGGTGTGGGTAATACGTTCCCTCTGAAAGTTCCAGACGAGAATCTGTTCTCTATCCTTGCCAGTTTCTCCTGGCCACCAGCATTCCTTGGTTTGTGGCTGCATCACTGCCATCTCTGTTTTCATGGTTATATTGCCTTTTTTGTCTGAGCCAACTCAGATTCCACTTCTTCCTTATAAGGACATATGTGAATGAACTGAAGTCTTACTAGATAGCCTTCTTGTCACAGTGCTTTAGTCACACCTGAAAATTACTGTTCAGTAGGTTAGTATTTCCTAAGAAGGCCCTGGCATCTTTATATGACCATTTCGTAGCCTAGTATAACCTTCCTTTGGACTAAGTCCCACGGGTTTGTTCACTTCTTCTTCTTCTTCTTCTTTTTTTTTTTCTCAACCATGTTCATAGCAGCTTTATTTGTAATAGCCAGAATCTGGAAACAACCCAGATGTCCCTCAGTTGAGGAATGGATACAGAAATTGTGGTACATTTACACAATGGAATACTACTCAGCAATTAAAAACAAGGAAATCATGAAATTTGCAGGCAAATGGTTGGATCTAGAAATGATCATCCTGAGTGAGGTATCCCAGAAGCAGAAAGACACACAGGGTATATACTCACTTATAAGTGGACATTAGAGATATAGGATATTGATACTAAAATCTGTACACCTAAAGGAACTAATCAAGAAGGACTCTGGTAAGACGCTCAATCTTCATTCAGAAAGGCAAAGAGGATGGACGTCAGAAGAGGGAGAAAACAAGGAACAGGACAGGAGCCTACCACAGAGGGCCTCTGAAAGACTCTACACAGCAGGGGGTTTGTTCACTTCTATGTCCTCAGTGCTTAGAAGAGTTGTGAAGAAAGCAGTATTGACTATTAAGCATTACAAAATCACCTTAAACATCTTTAGAGTGGGGAGTTTTGGGTTGATTTGAGAAGACAGGCATTGTAGAACAGCAATATTAGGGTACAGTTAGTTGGAATTTGTAGTGAGAAACTTGGGATATGAACGAGGTCTTAACCATCTGTAGACTAGGTGTTTCACAAATGAACACACTACTTGAATGTGGAAGTATTAAAACACAGTTGTATAAGGCTGAAAAGATGCTAAAGTTGCAAAGAAACTTGATTTCATAAAATGTCCAAAATTCTTCTCAAAACTTGTTTGTTCTTTAAATGGGTATAGTATGTGATCTTGTCATGAGAATCCCCAATGACATTTTTATAGTTTGTGGATTAGTTCTATTTTCTTTACATTGTTTCTTGGAAGTGTTCAAGGCTAATAGTTTTCCACATAAGATCTTTTTAGTTTACAAAAAAAGGCTTTAGGTTCTTAAACCGCAACCTGTCCCCGATCTTTAAAATACTGTCATAAGGTAACAGAAGTGAGGCTTCATTTTATATAGCATTACTGTCCTAAGAAACTCCATACACAACAGTTTTCCTCCAGCAAACTACATTTGTGAGATCCTGAAGGAGAAAGGCAAAAAAGGCGCTGATCCTACTGTGAAAGGTTGTTTTAACTTCCTGGGAATCCCAGGATTAATAGAGAGTTGCTGTCTAGGATGGCGCTCAGTTTACTCTATTCTGCCTAATCAATGAACTTTTGGAGCCTGCCTGTTGAGAGGAACGTGAAGAGTTAGAGGGTAAAAGAGGCCCTAGTACAAGGGCCCCGGTACACTACAAGGCAACAGCCTTGTGGATCCATTAGCAAGGTTGGCAAGAGCTCACCCGCCGCCGCAGGACGGATCTCGTGCGCGCGCGCGCAGCCCCAAGCGTCCCCGGCTGCCGAGATACAGACTCCGCCCCCCGCGCTGCCGCTAGGCTCCAGGCTTCCATGGCAACCAAGCCTCACCATGCTCCCGCCCTCTTGGACTTAAGCACTCACATGAGTTACCTTCTCAGACCTGATTCAAACAGGAAAGGAGGACGGAAGGCCCGGGAGCCACTCCGCATCAGTGTGGTCTCATACCACTTCCAGACACGCTTGCCTTTGTGTCCTCCCTAAGGTTCCCCGCGAGCACAGCGAGCGCCGCTCGGCTCGCGTTTGCGTACTCCCCCAGGGCGGCGTGGTGGAAGGAGCGGGGGCGGGCGCCTTCTGAGTGACGTCCCGGAGCCGCGCTTCTCGGAGGCGGAGCCCCGCGAGGGGCGGGGACGAGGGCAAGATGGCTGCCGGCGAGTGATGCTCTCTGGGTTCCTGCAGGGCTGAGGAGACGCCGGGGCGGGGGGCCCGCTCGTGCTGCCTGCTGGCCTCCTCACCCCCGCCCCCGGAGGCCTCCTCCTTCCCGTCCTCCACCTCGGGGGCGGGCCAGCCTCCCCGGACACCATGTCAGACTCCGAGGAAGAGAGCCAGGACCGGCAACTGAAAATCGTCGTGCTGGGGGACGGCACCTCCGGGAAGGTCAGTCCTCGGGCGGGCCCGCGCCCTAGGCTGCAGGACGCACGGTGCGGCCGGGCCTGGCGGGCCCTCGGGTTGCCTAGCGCCGTCCAGCTCCGCGTCCTCGCCAGCGCTCCCGCGGACTCGGCGCGGCTGGCCTCAGGCCGCGGCCTCCCTCGCGCCTGCGCCCTGGGCGCGTGCCCGCCGCCCCGCCGGGCATGGCCAACCTCTGGGCTGCAGAAACGTACACAAACGCCGCCGCCCCGTCCACCCTAGCTGCCCCTTCCGTGTCCCTTCTCACTTGAGTACGGTCCTTTACACCTGTCAGGGCAAGGGTTCATTCAGGAGGTGTCCGTTGAGCCACCGGGGTGGGCAAGATGGTGTAGGCGACACCAGGACCTTAAAACCTAGCCTGCTGTGACCGTTGGTTGCAGGAATGAATGGGCGCGTGCGGGAGAATACCCGCAGGCAGTTAGTCCCCTCCGCGGCCAGGCCGGGGTTCTTGACCCCAAGTTGTGAGCTGAAATGGGGTAAACATTGCCTCACTGCCTGGAACCCGCTCTAGGGAGAGGGTCCCCTAGCTGCCTTCCAAATAAAGTGATGCGCTTTTGTCTGAGTGCCCTCACACCTGTCGCTCCTGTCATAACCACAACACTCTCGGGGAAGGTAGCTGAAGTTCCCCTTCATTAGGATCTCTTCAGTAGGGAACCCTGCTCCCGCCTCGGTGACGGGTGTCGTTGGACCTGGTGGACTTTGTGTGCTGACAGCTTTTGCATCTTTCCGGAAGGAAGTTCTGCACAGGCTTTTGAGCCTTGGTTCTGAAATTTGGGTTCCTCTGGCCAATACGGACGGCTTCATTATTCTGCAAAATTTGGAGTCTTCTGTTGATCCCTTCCTTGTTTTCCCAGGATACTTTGCTGTAGAGCCCTATCCCGAAGAAGAAAGCAATTAAATGTGATTACATTTTGGAGCAAAGAGCAAAACTTGGCTGCTTCTCGTTAGGCACTGTATGAAATATTGTGCACGTAGACGTTTCGAATAAGAAAGTTGTTGTACATCAGCATTATTTCTAAACTTTCATTCAACAAAAAAAATTAGATTATTTTACAGGTTTCACTACTTAGCTTTTCTTTTGAAGGCCACCTCTTGTTTTTCTTTCGTAAATTTGATTGCATCCAGCGAACAACTGAGCTTTCCACTTAAAACCATGACCCTTCATTATACTATTATCTATAAGACCTCTAAGTTACCCATTAAGTCTACTGTTATATATTTATTTATATTTAAAATTTAAATATACCTCATCCAATATTTAAAATAGTTGATATTTTTATCCTATTTAAAATTTTGCTTCTTTGTCTGCCAATATTTAATAATGCTGAAATTTATTTATAGTTTTATATCTATATTTTAAAAATTTTAGACAATCATACATTATTTTGCCTTTGTTGCTAGTTTAGTGTAATTAGTTTTCACCTCCATTTAAAATTCTGTCCAGTGTTGAACAATGTATATATATTTTTTCTCTTGTTTATGGTTGAGTTAGAGTTACCATTCTGCATTGAAGAATAAGTGATCTTTTTCTATGGTGCTCTATCCTCATTAGTAATGTATTTTTCTTATGAGGATATATACTTTCTGCAGAGAGTCTCTGAACCTTAGCTGTGTTCCATTATTACTGTAGCAAACTTTTTTTTGTAACAGTCTGTCCAGCTCTCAGATTATTGATACTACCATTCTTCTGCTTCTTTTACTGTTTTTTTTATGAAACTCAGTCTCGTTTTCATTCTTATGTGTGTTGTCATTTAACTCCTTGCCATTTTTGTAATATTTGAACTCTCAGCGTTTTTATACCCACAGGCAGAAGCAATAAAGAACAGCACTGGGAGGACCAGTAACAGTTTCTGGTTTAGTTTATCTCTTTAGTACATGTGTTTTTATGTATTTTCTGTTCTGTTTCATATTTTTAATTTAATTACACATTTTATTAACAAATTTTTTGAAGCAAAATATTTTTGGGGGGTCATAATAAATACAGTTATACTTCTTTAGTATTGTTTCAATGTATAGTTTGGATAAAGAATGTTTGCCAAACCAGCACAAACACCCTGTATATATGTACATCAGCAATCAAATAGAAATGTTTCAGATATGGTATCTGCTTGCTCACTTTAAGAAGGTATTTATACAGTAACTTGTGAGAAATTATTGAATATAAAAAATGACAGTAAGGGTGACGAACTGGGGAGGAAGGAAGTGCCTCCCACACATCCAGCTGATTCTCTAATTTTTATAGCAAAATGTCAGATGATTTAAGAACCTAGATTAGTACTATGTGTGGCTTATCCTCTAGACGCTCAGAAGTTTATTATTTCAAATTTGAAAGTCCTGTGATTTTGAGGCTTGTGTTGTGCTTGCCTCAGATTTTTGAGGGGAAGGCTTTAAAAATCTGGAAATCCTATTTTCAAGAAATAACTTTACTCAGAATCTTTGCAAATATATATTTTATTAGTAAACAAAGTATTAAGTTTCATTATTTTAATTTTTAAAATTTAAAATTAATTTTAAAATACAATTTGCTTGTTTTTCTTCCCTGGTTTGTGCTTGCACTTGTGTCGATTTCTGAATATTACTGAATATAAAAATGATAAAATTTGATAATCTTAAATAAAAGTGAAAAATACCTCAAATAACATGCTGTTACGTGTGTCTTGTTTTTCTTGACTTTTAAATATTTTAACTAGTCATATGTGAAACATTTTAAATACTCAAGTAATGCAGGGATGGTATTTTTCTCTAGACCGCCAAGCCTCTTCACAGCTCCTTTAGTGCTCCTTTGCCAGGCTCAAAGGAATAACCAAAGCTGACTGAAAACCTAAAGGTCTTTAAAAAACCAATATTTAGCTCTTTTATTCTGATTTCTCATTTGGCACTGTTACATGCTTCAATGATATAAGTATAGTGAGTTTATTTCCAAATGTGTGATTGAACATCTTTCATATGTGAGTGTTCATTGAATACTGGATGCAAAAATCTTAGATATTTATTATAATTACATTGCTGGAATATTAAATAGTTTGGAGTTAGAGTGTGTAAATTGTCCCTGCATAAAAGAAATGTAACTCACCTTGCGAAAAGGACTTGAAATATAGCCAAGTGAACTTCTGTTCTTATTTCATAACTATAACGAGCCATCGTGTAAACTTTATCCTAGTTTTATTTCAAGAGTTGACTTCAAACTGACTTTTAAAATAAAAAAACGTTTTTTGTTTGCTTGTTATTTTAAACTCTAACAGCCTGTCCTGAAGCCTGTTAATGAAGCTCTACCTTTAGGTAGGCTTTCAAGTGAGAGCAGTGCATTTGAAATGCTTCATTCTGAGTTTGGAGTTATTTCAGTTGTTACTAAAAGTATCTTTTGCTTTGATAGGAAATGACTCTCTAAAAGAAAGTCCTAGAGTCCTTGAGTGATACTTAGAGCTTTCATTTAAAAAGTGAATGAATATCTGGTGTTTATACTATCTATAACTTGTTAGTAATGTCTTCAGATAAAGAATATTTTGCCTGTTTTCTACTAGTCTCATAATACTAGCCTCTTTATTTAAATGGTACATATTATCATGACAATTCTGGAAATTATTTTTACTGTCTTAAGTGTACAGAAAAATGAATACGATGTTTCTTGTAGGAAAACCAAAAAAAAAAAAAAAAAATTCTACAAGGAGCTTTCTCTTCCCTAATCAGTGCTTTTTATTATTAGCTACTGGCACAGCTGCCTTCAGAGATGTGACGTTAGAAGGAAACTTAAAACAGTTCTCTGAAAATTTTATTGAAGGAATATGTAAGACTCAGATCTTCATGTTGGCTACCATTTATAATCCTTAGAGTCTAAGTTTCATCAGGGAGAAGGAGCTTGACAATGAGGGTACTTAATGAACTGTAACTGATTAGATTAGTCCGCTGTTGCTACTGCTGGTTGAAGGCAAGTGAAGTGTTCATGGTGAGGAGGGTCTCTAACCTTGTATCTGATTAGAGCTGCTAATGGTTGTTTGTTGGATTAATTAGAGTATAAGCGTTAAGATTATTTAATAAGTTTAGTAGTGGTCTTATGTTTACATATTTTTAAACAAAGAAATTAATTTTGCTCTTCTGTGCATCCATTTTTTTTAGACCTCCTTAGCTACGTGTTTTGCTCAAGAGACTTTTGGGAAACAGTACAAGCAGACTGTAGGACTGGATTTCTTTTTGAGAAGGATAACTTTACCAGGTGAGAGACCATAAAACCAACAAGACTGTGTAAGTCTCACTCACAGGACAACTTACCAAGTAAGAGACTATAAAACCTTACCTTTGTGAGGTTACGTGAGTCTCACAAGAATATATGTAAGAAATCAGCTATCACTAGCATCTAGTATGAGAGTATATTGTCCATTGGGGTAAGAAAAAGTTTATACACTTCCCTAGTTCATTGCTGTTACGGGCAACTGCATTTTTTTGAGGATAAATAATAGTTGCTTATAAAATTCTAAAAGGCTTTAAAAAAAATCAAATACTATACATTTGTTAACTGCTATTGTATTAATGAAATGTGAAAAGATTGGAAAGGATTTAAAAATATTTTGATTAGCTTCTGTTCCGTTTTTTGTTTGGAAGCTGAAACAGAAGTATAATGTAGCTATGGAACTTCTGTGCTCTAGTATGTGAATGCTGCTCTATGCAAGGCAGCATGAAATCGCTGGCATTTAATAGACCACTAAATTTTAGGGTCCCTAGGCACTCATAAAAATACAGTTTGAGCATTCGCGACGTTTCAGTTCACCGTGCAAAGAAACTATTTAGATGCCAGTTGCAGCACATTTTGTGGGAAATAATAACACAAAAAGAGTGGTTTATGTTTTAGGTCAATTTCTGAACAATTGGAGCTTTAAAATGTATACCTTTAATTTCAGTGATTAAATGACATGTTTCAAATATTTTATTAAAAGTAGTTGTCTTGATTGATTTTTTTTTAAGCCATCACTGTCTTTTCTATGAATTAAGCGGTTGGAATTGCAATATCAGAATCCTATACTGAAATGCAAATGAGTTTCAGTATTATTGGAATTAGTTCCCCTTTCAAATGCCCATCTATTGGAAACTCTATGAAAATTATAGAGCAGTTAAGGAAAGCTTTTGGCAATTGGAGATAGTCTTTGTATCTCATTATTACTATCACCTGTTATATTTTTTGATGATTTATGTTTGAATCTCAATCCAAAATGGATTAAGTAATACAACATGAGAAAAAAAATCTAAAATTCTAATTTATCGATTACTCAAGTATTGTTCAGCGGTTTAGTGAGAAGCATATGTATATTTTGTTTTTTGTTTCATTTATATTTCCTTTTCCTGTATCCAAGATTGAAATATCATTTTTGTTGCACGCACAGAGCAGTTGTTGGTAGGATAGATACATGTACAGGTTAGACAGCATGCATACTGCAAATGTTGTTGTGCAAGCCTGTCTTAGTGACACTAGTTTTCATATACGGAAAGCCTCCATCCAGTATTTTGTTACTAGCTATTTTCTGGGATGATTAATTAGTCAAAGCACCAACTTACCTCATTAATTTTGTTTAAATTTTTTAATTTTTTTGTTGAAAGGCTGAAATAAAGAAACAAAAGTTTTCCTCTTTTTTGGTTTCCTTATAAACTAAAGGTAGTTTTGGACATTTTACATAATATGATATTTGTGAAACTTTCTGAACTGCTGCACAATGGTATGAGTTCAAAAACTGTGGTCACTTTGTAAAAATTGTTGATATTTTTGAAATACAAATTTATAACATGATTAGATTTAGAAAGACTTTAGGTTAAAAATGGTATTAGGAATTCCTAATATATGCTTTTAATGAATGTTTTAATTTTCCTGTTGACATTTGATGAGCAGAGTTCCATAAAAATAATGAAATATTTTTAGAAAACAGTTTTAACTTCTTAATGGATTCAAAATTGTCACAGCTACTTCAACTTGAAAAATTATTTTAGTATATTTTGAATTTATATGAAATTATAAGATTTTTATATAATAAAATACTTTGCATACTCTGACCTCAATGTCCTCTCATTGTTCTGTCTAAGGTATGATGATTGATGTTTTTATCATTCGCTAACTAAATAAAATACTACCGGAAGCATTTTTTGAATATATAGTAATGTAGCATAGCATGTGAATTTAATATTTGTTTTGAGTTTATTCACATCGTTAGGGTTGTAAACTCCCTGTCCATTTATTCGTATTTTCTTCATGTGTCTTTTCAAGGTCATTACTTTGCTGATACTCATCCAGTTTAGTGGATTTCATGATCTGGTATGCTGTATAGTCTGGATGCAACCACTGTGCAGATTTTGCTACTTAAAATAGTGTATCTGTTAGTCAGAGATTCTGCTGATAGAGTTTCTTAAGAGCCTTAGTCAAAATACCTTCAGGAAGCTTGTGGTACAGTCCAGTAAACAGCGCTCTACTGTGAAAAGGATTTCTGAATCTTTGGCACAAGAAGGGGGCAGTCCTGTGTTTTGAGTTCCATCGTGCCTATGCAGCACTTCAAGTAAGGTTAACCAAGGCACCAAGTGTACTTATATAAGGTCACTGGTGAGTCCCTATTGTGGCTTTGACTTGTAACAGATGCCACTTACCTGCGTTTTATCATTTAATATAAATGCCACTTCATTTAATCTTTTTTTTCTAGTCACATGTCACTTGTTAGAGGATTTTATAGCAGTTTGCATTTGAGATTAGAATGCTGACAATTTTTTTAATGTTCTTTATTTGTTAGAAATTTGGTTTAGATGGATTTTTGTTTTAGAAAATATTATATCAATTAACCGAACATCCTTCTATAGCTTTATAGCTATATTATATTGAAAATATAATGGCTATCATGTGATGCACCTACAAAAACTTAAATGAAAAATAAGGGTGAATCACAACTTTATGTTATTTTTGGTCCTAAATTAGAAAGTGTTCTTTTTATTTTTAGTTTTGTGTACTAGTAAATTTAAAATTAAAACATAGATGTTAAAGTATTTTTCTAAGTATATGAAATAACTGTGATGTTAATATTACTCATTGAAGGCATAAGCCATACTAATTTTTTTTCTAGTTCTTTGCAAGCAAAGTTATGTACTTGCAAAGCACATAATAATTTTAGGGGAATTTTACTTCTTAGTCACTGGAATCTGTATCTTAAGAAAATAAAATGCAAGCAAATAACAAAAAGTACTTATTCAGAAAAATAAAGATTTGAAAGTACCTTCAAAACATGAATGTAAATCTTCTAGATGGCAGACAGTTGATTATCTGAGCTAGCTGCTTAAGTTGTTGTCACCAGAATTTGGAAGCATACAGTGAAGAGTGTGCCTGAAGTTGTAGCAGAAATATTCAAAATGTGAGTTCAGAGAGGCTCTGGATATCAGAATGAAGAAGGAGAGGGAGAGGGGGAGAAGCATCATTTCTGGATGTTAGCTTAAGCAGTAGGGATTATTGGGCCTTGAGGAAATGGGATTAAATACTTAGTAATTATTAATGTGTGGCCTGATATCTTACTCTGTGAGAGTTACTGTTGGGGAGTACTGACTTTTGTTGTAAACTGAGGACTGTAGTTTTGTAAGTAAAATGAGCAGACTGCTGCTTGTTGGCCGCAGGCTTCAGAACCTCATCCTTACATCTCTAGTGATGTTTAGCTTGTTCTGACCTGATTTGAGATAGCATCAGAAAAGATGAGTTAAGCTTTGGTTTTCATAAAAATTAGAGTTTTAAGAAATTGGATTTATACAGTCTCTTGGCCAAATCTTAGTCTTTGCTATTTGGGCTTCAAGTCATAGAGCTTTGAGAACATTTTGGTCATTACTCATAGCGTTGGAGCTACATGTGTGGCAATGATCACGGCGATAAACTTCAGTAGCTCTCATTAGTGCTAATGGACGTTCCTCCTGGACATCTCTGCACTGTAGCAGATGGAACACATCTACATCTAAATAATGGAAATCTTGTAATACAAGTCCACAAAAACTAAACTGAAGTGTAAAACTTTGGTGATTAATTAATTCACTGTCTTTTCAGCTGTGTAGTTAAATGGTGTAAAGAACCTTCTTTGATTTTAGTGTGTAGGCATAAAAATTCATATTTTTAAAATCTGTTTTATTTTTGAAGAGATTTTTTTTTTTCAGTTTCTAAATTTTTATTTAAATTTTTTTTCAATTTCATTCCAAAGGTACCAGTTCAAACTTTGGAGAAAATAGCATAATTTTATGAGAAAAAAGTTTATGTTTACTCCTGATGAGCCCTAATTGACTAGGATCAGAAGCAAGGAAAAGAAGACCTCCCCTATCAGTGGACTTGGGGAGGGGCATGCATGCAGAGGGTGGAGGAAGGGAGGGATTGGGACAGGAGGAGGGAGGGAACTACAGGGGAGATACAAAGTGAATAAAGTGTAATTAATAAAGAAAAAAAAGTTTATGTTTAACTAATATATATTGTCCAGAGTCTTTGACTTTTGTAGTTTAATAACTAGTTATCTTGTTAGAGAGAAATTTATTTAGCAAAATTTTGTTCATGCCAATATTTTATAAAATGCATAAATGAATTTCAAAGATTGCCCTTTACTCTTCTTGGGTGCTTTTACAATGCTTGTATAGACGGTTATGAAGGGTTTGAAGGACACAATGCGTTTCAATCATCATGCTTTGTACAGGTATGAATCATAAAGTTTAGAAATATGCTTTGTTTTTAAACATTGTTTGGACTTTGAATAGAGCTCTAACATATATTGTAGAGATTAGATAAAAAAAACCACAATTATTGGTTGTATTTACCTTTACATATAATAGCTGATATTCAAATTAAAAATTCATTTAAAATGAAATTATGGATGTATTTTTATAGTCTGCTTAGAATACATGGAGTTTAGAACTGATAGTTCAGTTCATGAGTGATTGGGTAGGTTTGTGTATAAAACTTCCATCTTTATTTTAAAAGCATTTTTCTCTCTTTGGACATGGGCTTTATATTGATTCATTCTTTTGAAATATTTCTTTTTGTTAAGTTTGTAAGTAAATGCGTGCAGTGTTTTATTTATTTTAATTTTGGGAGGTGGTTCTAGACCAGGCTGACCTCCAGCTCACAGAGATTCTCCTGGAATTCTGGGGTTAAAGGTCTACATCACCATGCCAGGCACTGAGATTTATTTTATATTAAATGAAATTATAAAGATGCTTCAATAGAAATGTGGGGTAATTTCCCCCCACGATTTGTTTGACAATTATCAGTTATAACTATCTGACCATGTAAACTTAGAACAAAATGCAAATTGGCATCAGTTTATCATTGTTCCTTTGTGCTCTGTAATACTGTGCTTAATTGTTAGATTGTTAGTCTTTTAAATACCTACTGTATATTATTTTTATATTCTAGGAAATTTGAATGTTACTCTTCAAGTTTGGGATATAGGAGGGCAGACAATAGGTGGCAAGATGTTGGATAAATACATCTATGGAGCACAGGTATGACGTAAGTTCTATGATTATCCTAGTATTTTAAATCCTTATGAAAGCATGAAGGTACACATCATACACACAGACACAGATTTTTAAATTTTTTAACTTTGTTTTATTTTATCTGTATGGGTATTTTAAAATCAATGAACTAATTTTTTATTTATTTTGCTTGCACACATGTCTGGGCATCTCATGTATGTGGTGCCTAAGGAGGCCAAAAGAGGGCATCAGATTCTCTGGGACTAGAGTTACAGATGGTTGTGAGCTTCTCTGTGGAGGCTGGAATCAAACCAGTGTCCTCTAGAAAAGCAGCCTATGTCATTTCGCTAGCTGACTACTTTTACTTTTTGGTTGGTTTTGAGACAGGTGTCACTGTATAGCTCTAGCTGGACCAGGCTGGCCTACGACTCAGATGTCTGCCTGCTTCTGCCTCCCAAGTACTGTCATTAAAGGCATGGGGCACTACATCTAGCCTACTCATTTGATTTTTATCTGATATGTAGAGCTTAATTTTATATGTGTTGGTCCTTCGGTTTTATTCTACCAGACTACACTTGCAGTGGTTTGGTAAGAACGGAAAACCTTTTTAGAACTCTTATATGCTTATCTTACTATATACTACTTAGCTGAATAAAGGCAATGACTTGGTTATGTGACTGCTATCAGCAAACTGAATATAAAACATTGAAGATGTTACTTCATTTAAATTGGAAGGAGCAAGATATATCTACGTATCTGTCTTTTTGGCCTGTGTATTGATTTATTAAATAATTATAATTCAGACTAATATACATAACCTTATTCTGTACTAGACAAGTAGATATGATTATATGTATGGAATAACTAGCATAATAATAATTGTGTTTTTAGAGGAAATCTGTATAGAAATAACATTTGAATATTTTCCTAAGTTGTTTTTTCTTTTTTTTATTTTTTTTTTGTCCTTTTTTTTGAGACTAGATTTAATTCTATGGTCCAGGTAGCCTATGCTACCTGAATCTCACTTGTAGCCCATGCTGGCTTTAAACTCTTAGCAATCCCCTTCTGCCTCAGCTTCCCAAGAGCTGTTATTATAGGTGTGAACTACTATGCCTGGCTATAATTTGTGTTTTAAATAAAATTAGCGAATAGAAAATATATATGTTAGCAAAACTCGTTAGAAATTATTTCACTTTAAAGATACCTAGTGAAGAATAATCACTTTTTTTTTAATGCTTTGGCAGATTGCTTTTTCAGTTTTGACAGAGACTTTAGGAATGCAGTAGTGCTACTTATATCCTTGTCTACTGAAGTAAAATGTTTGTGGACAGATGAAGAAGTGCATGGCACTTATTGAGCTCTTATATAGGACTTGTATGTACTGCTTTTCTTCTTGTTTTAGCCTGCAGCTTTTCCATCATCATGAGACATGAGGGGAATCTCTAAATGTCCATAGTTCTTTATTGGATTTTGATGTTTTTGTATTGAAAGCATAATTTGATTAGGTGAAACTAAGTTTCTTATTAAAAAGGGAAACTGTAGGATAAAGACAGGACTCTACACAGTTGGCTTTCATCAGTTACCATGGAAAATTGAATCTATTTTATTCTATAAGATATTGGAAAGTATTAATGAGAAAAGCAGGATTTTGAATCCTTTTGTTTGCCTCTTAAACCTTTCTTCTTTGTCTTTTATGCATTATCTTATTTCTTCTGCCAAATCTTTCTGCTTTTGTTTCACATCTATACTTGTGATTATATGACCTGATAGTTTATACACATTCGTAGCTCAGAATTTTTTTTGGTCCCTTTTTGCAGTTGTTTAAAGTTTTTTCCTTTATGGTGCTGGAACATCAATCCTACAGCCTTGTACATACCAGGCAAATGCTGTTTTACTGAGCTACATCCCATCCCCTTTACTCTCTTGTTAAACTGACTATGTTTAAAATAGATAGTAAGCAGAAGAGAAGTGGCCGGGCAGAGAGATGCAGGGAGCCATAGTCCTTGTTTTACTTATGAGAGTGGGTAAATTGGATTTGAAAATAACACATCTTTGCCCTTGTCCCATAAAATATATCTAAAGACCACATACTATTTTTATTTTGGTTTTTGTTTTTTAAATAAAAATTAAGATGGTCTGTCTTCTAGTGATGATTGACTCAATGTGTCATATAGAGTAGCTTAAATTTTTTTGTTTTGTTTTTAATTTAGTTGTGTGTATGTGTGCTCATAATCCCATGTTATGGTGCAGCTGTGGAGGTCAGAGAACAACTTTGTGGAGTCTGTTCTGGTCTTCCACCACCTTTGAGTGGGTTTATCTGTTGTACTCTCTTGTCAGCCCAGAATATCTTCGCTTATGGTAGACAAATAGAAGTACTTAATATATCATGGGACAGATAATACAAAATTGATTAAATCTTTTTTTTCTTTAAAATTGCACAATATATATGAATTGGATTTTGTTATTTTTGCTTTACTTTAAATCATGTAAAATATATTTAAATTATTAAAGTTTTATTTTTATATAAAAATAAGTTGTGATGGAGTGTCAGTCTCAGAAAAGACCCCTTTGCCCAGATATATTTGGTCCTTGTGGAGCTCCTATCCTTTCCACGTCATTCTATCCTTTGCACGTCATATGATTCCCTGCACTGTGCCGAAGGTTTGGTTATGAGTCTTAGTATCTCCTTTGATATACTGCTAGGTAGAGTCTTTCAGAGGCCCTCTGCGGTAGGCTCCTGTCCTGTTACTTGTTTTCTCCTACGTCCAATGCACATCCCATTTGTCTTTCTAAGTGAGGATTAATCCTCTTGTCCCAGGTCCTTTTCTTGTTTATCTTCTTTAGGTGTATAGATTTCATTATGTTTATCATATCTTATAGGTCTATATGAGTGAGTATATACCATGTGTGTTTTTCTCCTGGGATACCTCATTCAGAATGATCTTTTCTAGATTCCACCATTTGCTTGCAAATTTCATGATGGATATAACCTAGAACCTCTGCTCGGATGAAGCCTGTGGTAGCTCAGTAACCAATTGGTTTCCCATAGTAAGGGGAACAGGGACTATTTCTGACAGGAACTCAATGGCAGGCTCTTTGACCTCCCCCCACCCCCAAGGGAGGAGCAGTCCTGCTAGGCCACAGAGGAGGACTTTGCAGCCAGTCCTGAAGATACCTGTTAAAACAGGGTCAGTTGAAAGGGGAGGAGGTCCTCCCCAATCAGTGGACTTGGAAAGAGGCAGGGAAGAGATGAAGGAGGGAGGTAGGGTTTGGGAGGGAAGGAGGGAGGAGGATACAGCTGCGATACAGAGTTAATAAAATGTAACTAAAATAAATAAATAAATAAATAAGTAAAAAAGAATAAGTTGCGAAAGTCAAAAAATATGGTAACCATTCTCAGGTGCCTAATTTAGTATATTCATAATACTATGCAACCATAACCTTAAGTCAGTGTATATTTTATGTTGTTGCAAAATTGCTTAAAATAAATGTGAAGTATAGAACTTCTTTCAGGTATTTGTTTGTTTGCTTTTGGTTACTTTTTTTTTTTCTGAGACAAGATTTCTTTTGTGTAGTTCTGGTTGTCCTGGAACTTGCTCTTTAGACCAAGCTGGCCTAGAACTCAGAGATCTGGCAGCTTCCCAAGTGCTGGGATTACAGGCATGCCTCTCTATATCTGGTATCCAGAAGTCGTATACTTAGTAGTTAAGAACACTTGGGTTTGGTGAAGTGAACTTCATATCCTAGAAGAAAGTGAGTGTTCTGTGCCTGCTTAGAATATGTTACACATGGTTCTACCTTGATGGTACATGTTGACTTTTTATTTACAATTTTGTTACTAAGCATGTACCCTGCTATTAAGTAACAACATAACAGTGTTTCTGAGGAATTTACCCTAATAAACTTGGAATTCTGGGAAGATGAAATAAATTATCATAAGTTAATGATTATGTAATAACTTTCTGGTGCTTTCCAGAAATTCTAAACCTAAAATGTATGTAGAATATACAAAACTACATGTAGCAGTAGGTTATTCTGTTGAAATACATGTGAATAATCCACCTCAGACAAGGACACCAACATTTGGGAAGTTACTTTTCAATAGTACATAAACTGTTCAAATTTGCTGTTTCGTCAGTCTGTTTTAGGATACCAGCTTAGTATGTTACTTAGCACCTGGTTGAGGTTTTTTGACATCTGCATTGTTGATAGAATTATTTTAGGTATTTCTCATTTCTGTATTGCAGAGGCTTTGCCTTCTGTAAGCCTGGGCCCTTAAGTTGTAGAGTCTTGTTTCCTGTGTGCATGTGAATGTATTTTAAAGCATTAGTATCCAGGAAGAAATTTATTTGAAAGATGGACGTTTACTAGGCTTTAGATAAAAGTGATTGTTTTACTGTCTTCACCTTTTCTCCTAGTAACATTACGTTTTAGCAAAAGTTCATTGAATAGTGTAGGTTGAGACCAAGTGAATTGACCTTCAGAAAAAAATTTTAAGATATTCCGACAAGAACTAGTTTTAAAAATGAAAAGTCCCAGTAAAAATGTCTGGATTTTAAATTAATGTAAAAATTTCTAGAAGTCTTGAGTAAGATGTTATAGGCTATTTTCCCTAGTGGTTAGGAGCAAATACACAGTGCATAGTGTTTAGTGCCCTGTAACCTGTGGCTAACAGAGGCTAATAACAAACCTCAGAGAAGGACTGGATGTTTCATTTTTGTAGCTCTTTCCATCCTGGAATCTAAGTGGTTTGCAAATACTGCTCCACTGAGCATAAACTCAATGAAGGGTAGTCGTTTGTGAGGTAGAACACAACTGCTATTGTGCATCAATGCCCCACACCGATGAGTCTGCTTGTTAACCACCAACAAAGTGATTTGGTGCCAGCGTGACAGCCGGGGACAGATTCTATTTAAAAGCTTGACTCATGAGGTCTTCTTATTGGAGCTATTTCAGCCTTTCTGCACTAGCATTTCTTTATAAAGTTTTTATTTGTACTTTTAAAAATTAGATATAATTATATTATTTCTGTCTTCCCTCACCTTTCTCCCGTTTCAATTGCACCTTCTTTTGACTCCCTCTCAAATTTATGGTCTCTTTTTTCTTTAATTATTATTATTATGTATTTATAAGTGTATAAATATATAACTGTAACCTGCTGAATTTGTTTGTACTAGTATTTTTCTAGATTGGAAGTGTACTGTGTTATAGCTAATGCATAGTATCTATGATTTAATTAATTTATATAATTAAAAAATGAAAATTATCCCTCTTACAGGTTAGAAGAAAAAAAAACATTGTATTTTAAGAGTCAGAGTACCTTTCATTTTTGAGATTATGATGTATTCTGTATTTTATAATTATTAAGACTTATAGTTTATCTTAGTTTAAATAAAATTATAATAAAGGTAATCACTAATAATTATTAAAAAGATGAAATGTTTAATTAAAATTATAGTATCATTTCTGAATTGGAATGAAATTATGATAAAAATTAGGAAAATTTATTGAGGACATGAAGTATTGCCACCAATGTGTGTTACTTTCAAAAATCAATCAGCTAATTACCTTGAGTATGCTGTGCAGTTGTTGCAATGACTAATGCTTTTTAAATACATGAAACAGATGCAAACAAAACTACTCCATAAAAGCAAACCTTGTATTTATGTAGAAGAGTTTTGACCTTCACAAAGAAAAGTGATTGTATCTTCTTGAAACTGGAAGAGAAGTGTGGTGTGGTCTGAAGACTGGGCTGTTGATAGTCTCTCATGCTCCAGTCAGTCCACAGTCTCCTGCAGGTTGTCAGCATGACTGTGTAGATAGTCCGACATTACCACCTCCAGCATCTTATGATCCAGGGAAGCAGGTCTTGCCTGTGACTCTCTTAATTCGACTCTTTCTTCTTAGGGCTCAGGGTGGTGATTGTTTTCCAATGTCAATTCTCTGAAAAATCTGCTATGTTTGGTGTAAGGATAGAGATGACCAGAGTCCTTTAAATGTCAGAAACCAAAACTTCTCAAGTTTCTTTTATATATATTTTTTATATCAGCTTTTCAGATATTTCAGTATAATACTGAGGTCAAAACCAGTAATAATTATGATGGTAAGAACATAGACAAAATAGTATTTTTATGTTTAAATGTGTTGAGGATATTTCGGTTGGAGGATAGCGAGGTTAATGAATGACGTTTATCTTTTTTATGAGTCTAAAAAGATTTAAAAGAATTTTTTTTTTATTGAGAAATATGGGGACACATTGGTCTAGAGTAGGGATTGGCAGACCTTCCTATAAAGAGCTAAATGAAAATATTTCAGGGAGGCCTCACAAGCTATTACTATCTCTTTTGGAGTGAATCCACTTTGCAGTTGGAATACTAACGTAGTCACTGATAATTCTTCAGTAAAAGTAAAACTGCATTAAATAGAAACATATTGAATATACATTAGCTGGAATATTTGTTGGAGATCCACATGCCTATACATCCTGAATCCTAGGCTTAAAGGCATACACCATTAAAGGCTAGCCATCAGTACATATGGCACACGTGTTCTACTTGCATGTGTTTTGTCTTACTCAGCTATTGTTTCCACTTTGAGTAAAGACTAAAAGGTCCCCAAATCTCAAGGATTAGTTATCACATGTCTGGGCTTTGTTAATGAATATAAATCACCTCAAAGTTACTGTGAGAATGTGGTTTGACATTGAATAATAAATAAAAATTATGTACAGTTATGCAGAGTGCTAATTTCACATGCAAACTGCTAATTTGGTATGCATTCTTATTCTCTTAATAATAAGGCTTGCTAAACATTTTTAAAGTGACACCACAAAGTGATTATCCAGGATAAGTAGGTGGTGTGTCCAGGCCTGGAACCCAAGGGCAGATCTTTCAGCAAACAGTAAATACCATCACCTACTACAGAGGGAAGTAGAGGCAGTCAGTGAATAGTGCTGTCTCTGCAGTTCAGCTTTGGAGCTCTACTCTTCAAGAAATTGAAATTGTACTTATTTCAGATAACTCTATTTTGATCAAATAATCTTGGAAGAAAGAAATAGATGTTGTTACCAAAATAAACTGGACAAGTGGTTTTATGTAAAATTATGAAATATCCATTTTTGTTTTATTGAGAAAACTTCTCATCTACTCCAGGCTGGTCTTGTACTTACTTTGTAACTCAAGCTGGCTTTGAACTCTTGATCGTTTTTTTCTCTGTCTCCCAGGTACTGGTATTACAAGTATATGCCAGTAAGCCTGGCAAACTTATGTACTCTTTTTAAAATATTTTTTGAGACTGGATCTTGCTTTCTAGTCTAGACTGTCCTAGAGTTCACTGAGTAGTATAAGCTAGACTCAAACTTAGAACAGTGTTTCTGCCTTAGCCTCCTTATTTCTGGGAGTATACCTGTGAGCCACCACATCTGGTTTTAAAATTACAGAATAATGAAATTGGAGACCATCAGAAATCTAATTTTAAGTATCATTTTTTAAAATGTGTGGGTACTTTGCTTGCATGTTTTATCTGTGTATCACATGTCTGTGGTACCCCTAGAGGCCAGAAGTGCATGTTGGATTCTCTGAAACTGGCAGTATAGACTGATGACAGCGGCCATTTGGGTGCTGGGAACTGAACTCAGGTCCTCTGGAAGAATAGTCGGTGCTCTTACCCCTTGAGCCATCTCTCTAGTCCCTAGAAATCTACTTTTAAAGATAAGAAATAGTTGACCTAGGGGCCAATGTGGTTTAATAAAAGCTCAGTATTGGAAGATCATAATAGTAGCCAGCTTGTTCTCATTTTAGAAACTCAATTTAATTTTTGGCAGTTTTTGTGAGCCAGTTGTTGAATACACTCATAATTAAAGTTTTTGTATAAACTCAAAAGTGTTGTTAGATATACTATGTAGTCAAAATGAATTATTTTCTGTATTTATTATTTTCTATATTTATGCATTTATTATATGCTATAATATCTCTTGTCTGGGCTCCCAAGGTTGTTCACATTTATAGTTTATGTGTTGAATAAAAATGCTATATGGTAGTGTCCTATTAGTGTCTATGTTCAGTAATGTCACATTGATAGAAGCTGCAGTGGAACTCTAAGCTCATTACCAACTAATTATTTGCTGTGACTACTGTGTTATATATAACCAGTTTATATGTCTAGTTTTCCCGGAAGATTTTCTTGAACTTTAGCGATTTTAAACTTAACCATTTATATCCCTAGCAGTCAGCATAATGCATAGTACATAGTTTGCACACAAATGCATTTAGTCATTTAGTCCTTGACTAAAGTCCTTGTTCCATCAGTTATCTATCTGGGTCATCTTGGTTATTATAACTGTCTATGAGTAAATGGGGATAAGGCCAGTCTCTTTAGGCTGTGTTGAGGATTGGTGTAAAGATCTGTGTTTGATACATAACAGATGCAAAAATAGTTATATTATTATAACATATGACATAGACATGAATTCCATGAGTGACTTATCCTGTAAGCAGAGCTTTGTATTAAGTGTTTGACCAAACCTGGATGAAAATCAAGAATGTCATTCTGTTATTTTTTGTGTATATATATATGTATATGTATATACACACATATATACTTCTCATTCTTCCTTCACAATATAATAGGATAAATTAAAAAGGAATTTGATATGTTAGAGACAGGAAGCAACTCCTCTCTTATATTTAGTTTCCTCTTGGACTCTGATTACAGTTTCAGGTCCAGTTTTACATTGCTCATTTTAAAGAGGATGTCAAAAAACTGTAGTGTGTCCTGGGAAGACTCAATAGCCATGATTAAAGGGACAGAAAATAGGCCCTTTGAGGCAGTTTTAAGGAACTGAGTTTATTTACTCTGGAAGCAGACTGGTAAGGAGTCACTTAACTATCTTCAAGTATATGAGGGGTTATTATAAGGAGGGTGCTCTCGTTGTTTTCTAAATGCACAGAGGACTAAAAGAGGAAATCCACAATTCATTTAAAGAAAATTGTGTTAAACACTGTAATTGCCTATCAAGGGACATCATAAAAATTTTCATTTTTGAAGACATTTAAAATTGAAACAGCAGATGGTTACTTATTGAAAAGTTTAAATGGTCAACTTCGTGATAGTGAGAGGTGGTATTGTAGTCCTAGACTTTTTTTTTTTTTTTTTTTTTTTGAGGCAGGGTGTGATAGAATTATTTTTATGTTGAATCTGCTAAGAAGTTTTACGTACCTTATTGGAAAATTACTCATAATTTTTTATAAAATTATACCTTTGATTGCATTGCATGTTTGTTTCAGGATTTGTTGTAAATGGTATCATTTGATATTGTTTCTACATATAACTCATTTGAGTTGAAACCAATTTATATATAAAAACACAACTGAATTTTATAGTATACCTGATATGTCTGAAGCACTGAAGAGTATTATTAATGTTTCAAAAGTATGTTATAAATATTTTGTAATTCTTTGTGACAGGGAATCCTCTTGGTATATGATATTACTAATTACCAAAGCTTTGAGAATTTAGAAGATTGGTATTCTGTGGTGAAGACAGTGAGTGAAGAGTCGGAAACCCAGCCCCTGGTTGCTTTAGTGGGCAATAAAAGTAAGTCCTTACTACTTATTTATGTGTAGAAGATTATTTGCTTGAATGCTTGTGTCTTCCTACCAATTGACATATTGAAACTTGAGTTTCCAAATGGTGGTAGGTGGAGGTATAGCTTTTATGAAGTTATTGGCTCTTTGTAGCAGATTCCCCATGGATGGTATTAGTGGCCCTTATAAGAAGAAACATGAGAGGATTCTTTTTGTCTGTAATTTCAAGGTACAAGAAGGTGACCATCACATCAGAAAGAGGACTCTTACCAACATCTGCTAGCATGTTGGTATTGGACTTAACAGTCCCTGGAAGTATAAGAAATAATGTTGTCTGTTTTTTGGTCTCTGGTATTTTGTTATGGTGGTCCAAGATGAGATCTTACAAAGTCATTTGCCTATCTTATTGATTATTTTATTCCTAAAATATATTTGATATCTGGAAACAGCTTTCTTGGAGTTTAAGTAGAAAATTCTTTTGAATATGAATAACTACCCAACATTTTCCCCATAAGTGACATCTAATCTGTGAACTTCCTAGTACACCAACCATATAAGTCACATTGCCCTTGAAGAAATAACTTTTGAACATATGACTTGATCCCTCATTTCAGGCATTACAGTGTGGTTAAGACCTTCTTTACTATTCACTAACTTTTTTGAGGTTTGCTCTGTTATAATTGCTCTGCTAGTTTTGGCTGGTGTTGTAAAGATAAGTTCAAAACTGATAGTGTATGTTTTGGTTTCCTCTGGTCTTCAAGAAACAACATGGACTGTTAAGAATAATAACACAGCTGTAGATTTTATGACAATACATTATAACTTCAGCTTTGTCCCAGTGGCTTTGAGACATTTTATTACATGGTTTTCTATTCTAAAGAAGGAGCAGTGCCCAGGTAGCATTTCATTATTCCTCATTCCCATCTTTTATAAACTTTCCCGAGTTTATTTCTGAAATGCAGTTAATTTGGGGGCCATGGAGGAGAATGTATTGTGTTAGGGAGAGGTAGAGTTGTTGGTAAAAAGTATAGGTAAGTAATATTTTGAGATCAGTTTCTTGAACTATGATATATAGAATGTAGAAATCATAAGACTGAACCTAGGACTCAACTACTATTTGGTTCATAAACCTGTAGTAATTTTGAAAAGAAGACATTAATAAGAGATTTTAGATACATGAAGCATTATTCTTTAACTTCCTTGAGGTCAGAGAAAGAGAAAATGAACTAAAATTATACCATGGATAATTTAGTTGGGAACTGTTTCCTGAGTAAGAGCATTGTTAAATCAATTTTATCAGTACTATCAAGTGAATTATCTACTATAAATGTCTGAAAAAGGCAATATATTTTTTTCCTGTAATTACTTAGGAAATAGTGTTTCTTAAAGGATGAACTAGATTTCTGCATTATGTAGTTTTATATACCGAGATGAGCATTTAATATACCCAATCCCTTATTTAAAATAATTACAAAACAGGTGTGAAGCCATTTTTCTGCAGAGCTAAAAATAACACTGTCAGCTGTCTAGAAGAAAGTATTGCATGTCATAAAATGGCATAGCCTTTGGTAGAAATTGTAGTGTTTTGGCTTTAGTTTTAACTAAAAATTACACAACTGTTTTATAAGTAATTCTTTTGGAGTGAATCATGATTTGTAGTTCATTGAAATATCCCTTCCAAATAATAGGTTTTGGTCACTTTGGGTTCTATTTCTGTGTGTAACTTTTCATTTTAGATGATAATTTCCTGGTCAGTTGTCATGTTACCAAAGCATTAAGTTATACTTTACTTATACTTTTGTTGGAGGTTTCCTATCACTGTATGGGAAGCTATAGAGGAGAGGGGAATTGGGGTTTGTTTTTGTTTCTTTCAGGATATAATCTAACCATCATCTGAGATAATGGCATAGAACTGTATAATTATATACAGTGTGCTATGTGCTTAGGTTATCCTGTGGTACATCCACCATTGGTTAATGTCTACATTAGAATATTAAACTAAATGAAACACTGGTCTATGCTGCTGGTAGTGTGCCCAAGCATTTAAAATTAAGTTAATTAAGTTTTTGCAGAAAATGAATAGATTACTGTATTTGAGGTTTACTATTATAAAAACTCTTGCTTTTCATCTTTGACTTAGTGATAACCCCTTTCTTAAATGTATTTATAATATGCCCCTTCAGAATGACGTAACAAAGTGTATAGTCACAAAGACTGTTATTAATGTGAAACAAAGAGGTTAAATATGAATGTTTCCTACATATTATTTACTGCATAATCTTTCATTGGCCCAATTTCATGTGATTATATAGTGAAGGATTAGTACACAGTTAAGCCTATTAGCTATTTAACTCTGAGTCTCCCGAATATTTTACAATTTGTGTTTCCAAATTGATGTTACATTAGTTAATATTATAGTGTGTATTTATTTTCTTTTTGGGAATACAATTTTATTAAAAAGTAGCAAAATTCACAAAAAGAACACATAATGCCAAACGAAGAGATACATGATGGAGTAAGACTAGAAACTGGATTGTTACACTGTTACATTGTTTAAACATGGTTACCTTAGACTAAAATGTGTTTTTACTATTATTTATTTTTTCTTTTATTGAAAATAGATTTTTTTTTTCAGGAAAGATTCCTGGGCCCAGATTTTTTGGTTCTCTTTGTGGAGCTCCATCCCCTCCAGGTCTTTCTGTCTCCTTTTTATAAGATTCCCTGCACTATGCCCAAAGTTTGGCATCTGTTTTAATACCCTGCTGGGTAGAGTCCTCCAGGGACCCTCTGTGGTATCAAGGACCATTCATGGAGATAACCTAGACAGCCTGCACAGATGTAGCCCATGGCAGCTCAGTCTCCAAGTGGGTTTCCTAATAGGAGGAACAGGGGCTGTTTCTGACATGAACTCAGTGGCTGGCTCTTTCATCATCTCCCCCTAATGGGGGGGGGGGGCAGCCTTACCAGGCCACAGAAGAAGACAATGCAGCCAGTGCTGATGAGATCTGATAGGTTAGTGAGACCTGATAGGCTAGCGTCAGATGGAAGGGGAGTAGTCCCTCCCCTATCAGTGGACTGGGTGAGGGGCATGGGAGAAGAAGGAGGAGAGGAAGAGGGAGGAGCTACATCTGGGATACAAAGTGAATAAATTGTAATGAATAAAGAAATTTTAAAAATAAAGTAGATTTTTTTCATATAATATATTCTGATTACTGTTTACCCTCCTCGAACCCTGCCTAGTTCTTCCCCATCTAGATCCACACTCCTCTGTCTCTTCTTAGAAAACAAGCAGGCATCTAAGGAATAGGATCAAATAAAATAAGACACACTTTGCACATACAGGAATTCCACTTAAAAACACAAAATCGGAAGCTATAATATATACACAAAGAACCTGTAAGATTATTGACTTTATTTTGTGTTGGCCTTCTACTGCTGGCCATGGAACCTACCCTTAAGAGTAGTTTGTTTCCCCAGGGAGACTCCCTTGGAGAAAACTAACTTTTTGTGTGTAAGAGGTTATCAGTCGGGGCTAGCTTTTCAGTTAGAGATGTCCCCATCTCTTAGTTCTAGGATACTCTTTGATGTGGCCCATGCAGGTTCTGACCATGCTGTCATAGTCTTTTAAGTTTAAATGTTTATACATCAGTTGTGCTGTTTAGAAGGTCTTCTTTTCTTGGTGTCTTCTGTCTCTCTTACATTCTTTATGTCTCCTCTTCTGCTGGGTTCCCTGAGTCTGAGGGGAGGTGTTTGGTGAAGACATCCTGTTTAGGGTTGAATGTTCCACAGTGTTTCACTCTCTACACATTGTCTGGTTGTGGATCTTTGTATTTTTTCCCCATCTGTTGTAGGAGGAAGCTTTTCTGATGATGGCTGAACAGCACACTTATCTATGAGTATAGCAGAATGTAGGAGTCATTTTATTGCTATGAACTTTTGGTAGAACAGTAGAATTTGATTTTATGCTAGGTCCCTATGTTACCTAGTCTCTGGTTCTTGATCACTCAGGCAATGTCAGGTGTGGTTTCTATTTTGTGAGTAGGCCTTAAATCAGATCAGGTCCTTACTTCTATGGGTAGGCATAAACTCAACTTCTTTTTGTTTAATGAGTTGTATAGAGCATGACTGTCAGCTTGTGGAGAGCAACCAATAGCCTTAGTAATAGCCTGGGTTATTTGGGAGCCCCATGGGACCTCTTTGGCTAACAACTATTTAGATCTAACTCATTTCCAGTACTGGAAGCTTCATTTGATGATGACAGATGTCTAGTTAGGGCTCCATCTCCCCCATTATTTGGTAGTTTCATTTAGATTGACTTTATATATTTCATGAAGCTTCTACTGTATTAGGCTTTCATACTATTCCTTAGATAGTCCTTAATTTTAGTTGTCTCTCTCCATATATCTCCTGTTCCCTCCCTCTTCCTTTTTGAGCCTCCCTTTCCACTCATCACTATTCTGTTTCTCTTTCCTAGGGAAATCCATCCCTCTCCCCTAGTCTCTTTCTCTATACCTAACCTCTGTGGTTATATGGATGATTGCTTGCTTTTATCAGTGATTTAACAGCTAACATCAATAAGTGTTGCAGCTCTGAGGGGGAAAGGCTTCCTTAGTACAAGCGTTACAGCTCTGAAGGGAAAGGTATCCTGGCATTCTGGAGCCAAGGTGTACCAGAAAGTCACAACACCCAACAAACCTCCCACAAGACATTTATTACTTATTGGGAAAGCGACAAGAGGCTAGCTGCCTCTGCTTGGCAGAGTGGGAAGTAGCCTTTCTATGTTTTCTTTCTTTTCTTTTTTTTTTTTTTAGGGGCAGAACTATACAGAGTGGGGACTGGGGATTTCAATTCCTGATCTTAGGGTGAGTTTAGGGATTGCCAGGTTTTTTGGGTTTAGAAATTGGTGGGATTTCAAGTGAGCTTTTTACCCTGTAGGGTGGAGGTTGATCACCTGTGTCTAGAAGGGTTGGATCCAGTCTTTATGTCCATTAGGGTGCTGTGTGGGCAGAG